ATATACTCAATGATGCTACAAAGAGCCTCATTGTTAAAGGAAATTTTGACAAATATTTTAAAGAAGAAACTATAGAAAATGGTACTTATATCTAGAATTTTTTCTAGTTTTAGGATAAAGAGAAGATCTTAAGAAAGTGAATAGAAAATATTTATATAGATGTTCCTTTGATTTGTCTTTATTTATCTAAGATAAATTTTATGCAAAATAATACAAGAAGCAAACTAGCTATTTTTTGAGATTGGTTGATATTCAAATATAATAAGAAAACAATTAAATATGTTGAATATGGATATAAAAATTGATCAATTTCACTATAAAGATGGTGGAGATCTTTAAAAAGATAACAATAAATTATAAGATTTATTCAAATTTTATGCTATATTAGACAATTTAAAGAAGTTAAGATTATCAAAAATATTATAGAATTATTAATTGCTACTATTTATTATTTCATAGTATTTAATACTTTGATTTGTCATATGATTTTATGTAAATTTATTATTTCATAATATTTAATACTTTGATTTGTCATATGATTTTATATAAATTTATTATTTCATAAATCATAGTTAGATCAATTTTTTATTTTATGATATTTAATACTTTGATTAGTCATATGATTTTATTTTGATTTATTATATGATTTGATAAAGTTATTATAATTATTTGCTAATATTTTATAAAGTAAGTTCTTTTAAATATCATAAGATTGAAGGTCAATGAAGATAGATCAAGCTCTCTACTCATTGCATACTAATCTTTGCCTCTCCCATACTTGTAATAGCAAAACTTCTCAGATTCAATTCTGAGTATGATCTATTTGCTTCTCTCAACTCTACAATATTTTGACATAGATTTTGAACTTCATTGATAACTTCTTTTATATGTATAGAAATAATATTTCTATAATTGACATTGATAAATCAAAGACATGGATCACAAAAAATAAAGTCTTTGATATATTCTTGTATTATTAAAAAATATTTTTTTTTTCTTTAAAAATAGTATAATATTAAAAATAGATTGGCTATTGTCAAAGATGAAAAGACTAAAGACTCTTGAAACAAGACTAAAAAGAAAAAAAACATTGATTAGAGTGAAAAAGACTTCATTCTTATTCCTATATATATTATCTAAATAAGAGTTATGTGGCAATGTTCTATAAGACCTTTAACATGTGTCCAACCTACAAGACATGTATCTAACTTGCAAGACAAGCTTCCTAAATATGTGCCACATGGCTAATTTTTTGACAAAGTTTTCAACCTACCAATCAACTACAAATACATCTAAAATCAAATCTACATCTATAAAGCTTTTAAGAAGCTTCACTACAAGATATTATCAAATTTACCTACATTTGTCATTTATCTAATACTTCTTATGTAAATAAATACATATGTATGTGATATCTATCTTGCAACACACATAAAAGCACTTGAACCTATTAATATGGATTTGATTGCATTGAATTTAAGACTTTTTACTTAAATAACAAAATTTTGACTTAAACTATAGAAAAAATCAAGGTTATAAGAAATCTAGTCTATTTGAAGGATATACTTCTCTAACCACAATAATCCTAAAATAATTGGATAAGAAGGAGTTCTAAGGACATTAATTATTAATAATCTTTTATATCTATTACTTATTATATTTAAAATAATAATTTAATAAATAACATTCTTAATAGATAATATATGATCATCTATAAGTTCTACATTTGAAGGCTTAGATTTCTTGACTAAATGTATTTCATATTTTCTTAAAAAGCCTTGATCTAAAAACCAAGCAAAGATTCCCAAATCTAACAAATCAAGGCCTATGCAATTTTTTGGTCCAAAAAAACATTTATCGAGTATTACCTTGAAATTGCAATTTAAGCCAATATCAAGATTATCAAGATGTTTTTGAGAAGAAGAATGCAGACATTTTTCTAGAACATTTTTTTTATGATTGCTCAATTGAACTTCAAGAAAAAACTCACCTGCTATTTAGATCAATCTATACCTTATCACAAAATGAATTGGCTGTATTTAAGAAATATATTGATAAGAACATAGCTAAAAATTTCATACACCATTCTAAATCTCTAACAAGAAATCTTATCTTGTATATGAAAAAAAAGACAATTCATTATGGATGTACATAAATTATTGATGATTCAATAAAATTACCATGAAAAATAGATATCTTTTATCTTTAATTCTAAAACTTTTTGATCAATTGAATCAATAAAGATCTATATTAAAATAGATTTATAAAGAGCATACAACCTAATACGCATCAAAGAAGAAGATAAATGAAAGATTACATTTTGAACGAGGTATGGATATTTTTAATATAATGTTATGTCTTTTGAACTCACAAATATATCAAATGCTTTTCAATATCTTATAAATGACGTATTTCAAGAGTTTTTAGATGATTTTATCATCTATTTTCTAAACAACATTTTGATCTACTCTAAAAACACAAAAGAGTATGAGCTTCATGTTTGTTGTATATTTCAAAAACTTAGAGATGCAAGTTTATATGCCAAAATAGAGAAGTATTTCACACAACCCAAGTTGACTTCTTAATATATATCATTTCAAATGATGGCCTAATGATGGATCCTAAGAAAATTCAAACTATCATAGATTAAAATATTCTAAAAGTAATAAAAGAATATGTAATATTTTTTAAAATTTGTCAATTATTATTGAATCTTAATTAAAAACTTTTTTCAAGTTGTAGCTCCATGTATAAATTTGACTTGTAAAGACAAACTAAAATGGAATTAAAAAAAAATAAAACAAAAATAAAAACAAAATAAACAAAATAAAGCAACATTTCAAGATTTGAAGACAACTTTTATTTTGCACCAACTTTGTATTATATCAATTTTTTTAAGGTAATTTTTATAGATTTAGACACATCAAACTTCTTTTAGTATAAAAAACAAGCAAAGACTTCCAAATCTAACAAAGTAAGGACTATACAATTTTTTGGTCCTAAAAAATATCTATTATAAAATAAGGTGAGGAATCTAAAGAAAATATGACCTTTACTATGTATTGCATAAGATTTGAGTTGCATTATCCCAATTGTAATTGAAAAAGCTTGTTTTTCAAAACATTGTCTTCTTTGGCAACTATGGTCCTCATTTTGTAATTACATTACTTCTTTAAACAATGTAAAGTAAAACCTTGTTATTCCAATCCACATTGCAAGCAAGGTTTTGGAATTCACCAACATATATGGTAACAAAACATGATCTCTGTTATAAAGATAGGAAATTAGCCTCTACTACCTTTTATCAATCACTTTCACCAAATGTGACCAAAAAAAGTCTCTAGTCTTTTTGTCTTTAACAATACCCATTCTAATCTTAATACCATATCATCTTTGAGTGATTATCTATTCTTTTCTAGTGATGCAATAGTGTATTGATCCTTTGATTCTTTGTAATTCATGTCTTTAACAAAAGGTGACAATGGTTTGAATTGATTTGATTTAAACCAATTCAACCATTATAGCATATTTTTCAAAATTATTTGTAATGGTTTTGGCACTTATCATGTTATGAGCATTGCATTGTACAATTATTTATTATAATCATTATCATCAATCTAGAGAGTTTGATGTATTCAAATCCATAGAAAAAGATGAGATTTTTTCAAATTTAACAAGAAGGATTTTTGATAGCTAAAGAAATGCATGGCACAAAATTTTGCAATGGAAATGACCATTATTTAAACTATTACAATATACAATTGTACAATGCAATGCTTGTAATATGATAAATATCAAAACCTTTACAAATAGTTTTGAAAAGTATGCCACAATAAATGAATTGATTTAAACTAAACCAATTTGAACCACTACCATCTTTGCACAAAAGTTCCTCACATACCTTATATTAAAAATTACCAATAATGCTTACAATAAGCAATCAAATTATTGTTCAACTACTTCACTACTACCAAAGAAGACAACAATATTAACATCTTGTTCTTTTTATTGCTCCAAAATAGAATATATCATAGACATACAAAGATGCATAATTGTTGTTTCTATAATTTTTTCTCTTCATAATGAAGAATAGGATGATTCAAGATTCTCTACCTTTAGAATGACACAACACAAGACCAATTATAAAAAATATAAATCATAGGCAAGTCTTAAAAATTGATTTTGTCAAAGTAAGGTTTATTAAACAAGTCAACATTACAATGATAATCATTCATAATATTGTTGTAGACTATGTTGCGAGTTATAATTAAATACAATAGCTTAAAATAAAAACAAAAACTACATAACAATGTCATTTTGTTCAATGACCAAAAGAGCTAATATATGTTTAATAATCCAATTGTACAACCTTACATGTACATGGTCCTTGTTATGATCCTTATCATGGTCCTTGTCAATCTCCAATTATATAGTATTTGGACTTAGAATTGAAAAATCCAAAATCTTGATGTTAGAAGTGCTTTAAATCTTCTATTTCTATTTGATATTCTTGTTCTTTTTTCCAAAACATTTGCAATAAATGGATTATTTTCCAAAACATCAATAATCCATTTATTGCATGCTTGATCAATACTCATTGTCAACAATAATAATGTAAAATCAACACCTTGGTTGTCTTTCTGAAATAATGGCATGTTCTTGCTGTTACTTATTGCAAACTGAGTTACAAAAAAGAACATGCAATCAATATTTTCCATCAACCAATTTTAGAGGTGCGGTACTCTAAATACAACAAGCACGCAAACGATTTGACCTTACCCCTATGTAAAATTAAAATCACAACCAAAGAAACGAGCAACATAAACTACAAGCATGCCCAAGCTTTAAGTGCAACACAGAGCTGGTTATCGAGAGAAAACTCTACACTCAAATCAGCTAGGATGAGACCGACGGACTCCATGCAAATTGATATCTAATAAAAACCGGCCACGGTCCTAACAAGAGAGATCAACAAAGAAATACAATGCGACCCAGAAAGATAGTAAGCAAAGTCGAACGGGGCTCTTCGATACAGATACAAAATCTACACAGTGCTAATCTCTGCAATCAGCAGGCTCTAATTGGGAAGTAGAGAATGTACAAAAAACGTCCTACTTTACGGCTGCTTTCTCCCTAAACATCCAATGAGTACCTTGATACACTACTCCACCTGAAACACTTTCCTCCAACGAGGGGACCACCTCATCGTCAGAACTCCAAAGCTTCTACAACTCCTCCGAGATTCATGAACTAGTAGCCAAGTTCTCACTTCACTCTGGGTTCATCGTTCATGCTCGGGCATTCAGTAGTTGCACCAAACCACCAAACATGAACCTCCCAGATATTATACATTAAATGTATAGTCAGCTTTGGCATCCACTACGGACAAGAGCGCTTCAGTAACCACTTCTTCCACACCTGCTTCACAGGAGCCAACAACTGGGGTAGTCATGGCTCCTCTACCGTGGAAAGGCACACCTACGCCAACCTTGTATGCGGCAAACTCTACCTGTTGCTCACCAGCGAATAAATTAATTTGATCTCCACGAACTGACGGAAGGACCTCCGGGTCTGAAACCATGCATCGGCCCCTGACCACCTGTAAACACTAGCAGCACCCATCAGACCATGCAACCAGAGAAAAGCCTCTTAAGCAAGCTTAACCTGCTCATTTGTACACATAAATACAATTTCCCAAACCCTTCTCACGACATCTGCATTCATCTTACGTTAAACTCAGAATGTTCAAAACCAGGGCCCCAGCCCTAACGAGAGCCCTAGTACAGGCACCTGCGACTATCCGATTCAAAGTAATTCATTGCTTCATATGGATTTGTCGCACATAGATACTTCAGAAAAGAGAGTCCGGCCAGCCGCTCAAAGCGTACCTGGAGGATTCATGGGAGGTGTTTGGTACTGTGCATATGGACTGAAATGTCCTCCCACTGATCGACCACGCATAGCAGATTGAATTCCAGGAGGACCGTACGGGAACTGTGCACCTGGCCCAGGTCGACCACCCGCATTCGACCTGTATAAATTATCCTGGCTTAAATAAAGCGGAGCATTCGAAGAATAACCAGACATGCTGCCTCCAGATGCTTGATCTCCTGCTTGAACCCCTGCACACGTATCCAACACCGTGGGACCACACTTCAGCCCACCCAAATAGACTACCTTCACCTGGCATAGATGCAATATAAAGCAACGCCATACTGCCCTGATCGTGGATACCAAATCCAGCCCACAGCGTACACAAGTGACTATTTCCGACGACTGACAGCATCTGCAAAATGATCGAACTCCAATAACATGAAAACAGCTGTCATCATCACAGTCAACTTCTGCAGGTGCACTACAACTGCTCCAATATTAACCATTAGAAAAATTAGGATGCATGCGCCAGAAACGGCAGCGCAGCGGTAAAACAGTTCTAAAGAAGCGTCAACTGCACCTTCGGAAGGTCCAGAGCTTGTACAACCTCCACTTTGTGAGGGCCCAGCATCTTGTTGCCCACCAGACAAGTCCCCAGCTCTTTCACTGACAGAGACCTCTTGGTTTCCCTGTCGTACTTGTTCCTCCCCGGGCCTGCCTAATCGGGGAGAGACGTCAGAACCACCGGCTGGGGAAGCAAAAGATTCTGGCCACACCCGCTGAGGACGACACGACGGAGGAAGAGGCGGAGGGGGTGGAAGACGCGTTCCAAGGGCAAACCCTGAACTGCAATGCTGAGGAGGTAAAGGAGGAATCGGAGAATCCAGCGATGCGCCTGATTGACTTCCTGGACCACTTGGATAAGAATTTGTCCTAGACCCCACCTGCAAACAAACACCGCCAGATCTGCAATGTCAAAGCGAATTTCCAAAGCCACATAGACTTGGTGATTAACTCGTGTTCAACTGGATCTACTTCTGTTACGAGAACGCGTACAAAGCCGCTGCTAATTTCACTTACTTGAGAAAACCCAGAGTTCCCTTGACCTTGATGACCAGCTAAGCCTGAGTGTGTAGTTGGTGTAGATGGTGAATCGCTCGCTTGATGAGTACTTAAATCCTGTGAATGTGCGGAACTCTGCCCATTACTTGGATATGCTGCCTGCGAGCTGATTAGCGGCGGAGGCGGGGATCTGGGGGGTGGAGGGGGTGAAGGAGGAGGATCAGCCGGCAGAGGAGGTGGCGACGGAACGGAAGGAGGGGGATCCAACGGCAGAGGAGGCTGCCCAGAGTTTGTTCTTGCGTCCCCCGCAAAACGATCTGCTAGGAGTTGTTCCCGCGACTTCATAGCTGGAACTTCTGAGTCGGCCGTCGGAGAAACATCCTCCATTTCCAGCTCACCATCCACATCTTCCAGCACAGTTGGATGCCTCTCGACAAGTGCCTCTCCTTCGGTTGAACGTGTTGTGTTGATGGCGCTCAAAAACTCCGTCTCCAATTTCTTATCGCCATCTTCACTGTCTTCCTCTTCCTCCTCGTACAACTGAGGAATGATGGAAAACCCGTCCGGTAAATTCAACGACGCATTGCTGAACAGCAAACACAACCAATCAAAAAACCACTCAACTTGCAAGACTTCGCAACAACGCAAAAGCTACACATTGGATTCACGTGTTGCGACTCACGCCTAACTGGCTCGTACAAGCGTTGCGCAAACAATTTACAACAATTCCAAGGTTAGTCAAGCTTGATTGTGATACCAAGCCGCGCAAGCTTATGCCCTCTGTAGTACCCCAGGCACTGACTGTATATCAGAAATTCGAGTGCGATTCCGCGTACAAACAGCTCGTATGCCTCAGTGATCGCACGGTTCACAAAGCAGTGAAAAATCTCAGCAACGTCCAGCTCCAGCATTTTGGTTCAGAGTGCTGAAGTCATCAGCTCACCAAAATGATGCAAATCCTTATCAGATGTTTGCACAGTATGAAATGGAAACAGAAGCAATACCTTCCATACTCATCCACCAACATGCCATCCATGTCCCTTACAGGATCGTCCACTGCACGCTCAGATCGAGAAAGTCGGCGAGGACCATTTCCAGGCAATCCCTTGTCCTCACTGTGCGACTCTATTTCAGTCATAAAATGACGCAGAACAGATTCCGGCATCACCTTCCTTTCCAACCACAAGTTCAACACCTGCAGCACACCACGACTATCGATTACTTGGAGAAAAGCATACCAGCCAACAAGATGGTTGTCGACTCACTACTGTGAAAACAGTGTCGAGACGGACAGCAATGACGACGACGACGACGACGACTCCAAAGTTGAACTGTCCATATGGAACCGGTGATGCTTCATCTCCTGCCGCTCAACAATCTATCAATCGAAAAACCCAGTACTCTCCCAGTGTAACACCCACCCACAGACCCCTGCCGTACCAATAAAATAAAATAAATAAATGAGTGTATGCGTGCACCAACAATAGAAAACGCCCATGAAAATAGAATGCCCCAACAGTCGCCGTAAACCCCACTTACCTTCAAACACTGTTTTCTATTCTCACGTGCGGCACCCCCTGGTGGAGCAGCTGCATTCAGTATTCGAGGAAGGAATGATTGCACAATCGGAAGGTATGCCGCCACTGATGGGTCCAAAAGACACAAACCCATTTCATCAGCACCAACACAAGCTAACATTTGCAGTGATGTAATCCATGCAAATTACTCCATCGCAAATATGCCACGCATGATCTCAACTACAACATGCGGTGCGACAATCTAAAATCACCCACCTGGGGATTCCACAAACAAGATACATCCCAAAGAATGCATAAATCGAGGACATATCCGACAATTCTTACCCAAACCTTCAATAATAAAACTACACCTTGCTTTCGACAACAAGGAATACAACGACAAATAACAAGGAAAGCTTACCCTTCTGTGTATGGGCGACTTGAGTGACAGAATCTAGAAGAAACCAGTAGTCTACCCGCCGATGAAAGCTGGGCTCATTCTCCAATTTCCGTACTATCACCTCAACGATCTACAAAAAAATCATGCACTGCCCCAAGTAAGTCCGAACGCCACCTCATTCCATCTACACCACCAAACATACAACCAGCTAATAGTGCTGATTATCCACGTATCTTATGTGACAATGCGCCAGCATTAGCCACTATGTTCAGCTCTACCTCACGCTAAGATGTTGGTACAACATTCCATTCACCTCTAATTCCCAACTTTACCATCTACTTACCAAAAAAATTAAAAAATACAAAAAATACAAAAAACCAAAAAAAAACCAAAAAAACCAAAAAAACCAAAACCAAAACCAAAATAATCACACACGCTGCGTCGCAACACCGCCATCATATAACTAACCTGGTCAGCAATGCCGTGCTTTGCACAATCCATAGCCTGCCGGGTTGTGCGTCCTATGCTGTCCTTTGTGCGGGAAACTGTCTCCAACATACCCACAAAAGTATCCCGTGCTATAGTGGCTTCCGTATCCACTGCTGTTTCTCCGTGTCGAATATAGTCCAGATCTTGCCTTTTGTGTCCGTCATGAGGAGTTAAGACACCACCCTGCCCATGTTGAACTGGTGAAGTCAGCCCTGAGCTTCCCCTTCTTTGTGAAGGAGAGGGACTGCACACCATGCTATTTGTGAACTTGTCAAGCTCTGCAAATGCGAACGACCCAGACCCACCTATACAAGTCCACAAACATCTCTGTAAGTGAAACCGTCAGGACCACAACGCATCCTTCAGGGTGCAGTTCCAGTACATAACCTTCGGAGCAAGGACATGAACAGAACAAGCACAAAAACCAGAAAACGCCACCTGTGGAATTCTGCCTAGCTCGCTGCTTAGCTTGAGCCACCGCAATCAGAACCTTCATTGAGGCAGATGCATCCCCCTCCCTCTTCAGCGCATTTCTCTTCTCATTAGCAAGTGCAACCCTAATTTCAGCAACAAATGCCTCCCGTAAGCGCGCACATAATCCACGATTTCCATTCAGCTTCCCATCATCAGTAACGTTGATTCAAACTCAACATGTCACGCACGCATGCTAGGAGGAAGACCCGACGGACCTTTCATGACGTAACATAAAAACCAAATGGAAACAGAGGTCTAGAGGACAAAATTGCTCGTTCCACGAATTTTAAATCGTAAGGCCATACATACAATGCTTAAGGCACGTTCACGAATGATGGCTGTGGTGCAGCACGCACGTTGAACAGCCACCACTCTCTAAAATGATCACGACAAAGCACATGCTCAAAACCCTTAGCAAGACTCGTAACCCCCCACATCCGACTGCACACATCACCACAGCGGCACCAACGTAGCGAGTGACGTTCAGGTACTCACGCGTTTCTTATACTTGAATCCTCGAAACTTGGTTTTGCAAGAGATCCGAACGCCTCTGCCCCTCCTAACATACTTGTACTCAATTTACCGCTCTCGGAGCCGCTCAAATGTCCCTTGCGTTTCTCCGTCGCAACTTCCAAGCTTGATCTCGTGGGACCAGGACTTTTTGATTTCGAACTCTTTGCTCTACCTTCCGACTTCGCTGTTTGCACCTTGCTAGGGTCTTCACTACTGCTGTGCTTTCTTGGTGAATCTGTTGCCTGTGCGTCTTTCAAGAGCATGTGTTTCTTGCTCTCTATCCTGTCTTGAGCACCAGCGTTATCATGCCCGCTTCCTACTTTCTGTTGTTTATGCCCTCCATCTGTAGACTCAAAAATGTCTGGCGTCACTGTGGCATTCTTAAAGGGGCTAGCCACGCTGCCAATCGGCGGCCCACACACAGGTATGCCCTCTTTGCTCAGAGTCTCCAAGGACGCAGCTGCAGTCACATCGTTACCATCTTGGTTAGAAGACACTCCATTTCCTATTTGCTCCCTAGATTCCGCCGCGCTTGCTGTAGCGGCTTCCGCTTCACAAGCACTCATCGCTGCATAAGCTCGATGCCTTCTTTTTGAAGGAGGGAGAGCAGCCTCGCCATCCAGAGCTGCTTTTCTCATCCGATCCTTGTCTGCTTTCGGGGGTAGGCTGGTCCCCCTTTCTCTGGACTTGCCATCCCTGGGCGAATCGTTCTCGGCGTTGTTTCCGTCCACACCTGAACGCCCAACGGACACATGTTTCTGCTTTCCTTCCCACGACTTGCCTTCTGATGCGAGCATCTTGGGCCTCTTCAACAAGGGAAGGCTTTTCTCAACCGCATCCACTTTGGGACTAACTCCGTCATCACCCTTCTCCCCTCCCGCACTTCCTTCCTCCCCTTCGACCTCTCCATCAGACAGCCTTCTACGTTTTAGAGATGCTTCACCTACAACTTCACTTTTAACCTTTGATCCTCCAAAAGAACCTGGGGAGGAGGTTGGAACTTTCTTCTCCAAATCATCGACACTGCCTTTCACGTGCTCGCCCCGCTGCTTCGGTGTGCCTGAATGCTTCTTGCTTTCCTGGAAAACCACAAACACTCATTTACTCAAATTCGGCATTCCCATGTGCAACACCCACTCCATCTATTTACTCCAATGTTGTAGAATACAGCACCTCTCGAACTACGCATTATGCTTCTATGACGATCACATGGCGGGGGCACCAAGGGGCATTACTCAAGGACAATTGGATAGTACCAGCGCTGAGGCATCATCATATTTCAAGTTCTACTTAGATGATTGAGCACTGCTTATTCAAAGCCACTAACACAAACCTAGGTCCATAATATACCATCACTCTAAAGTCCAAACAAGAAATGAAGACACGAAATGAAAACTACAAGGCACATCAACTTAAGACCCACCTCCGAACTCTTCGTCAAAATTTGCGATTTCTTTGGCCCTTTCTTCAATCTATCCACCTCCGACGCCAGCCCCTTCACATCCTTCTTCCCCTCCAACTTGCGTTCACGTTTCTCCCCACCCAAAACTTCTCCCTTTACACTAGAGCTGTACACATCTTTCTTCTTGGAATCAGATTCCTTCCTATTGTGCCCATTGTCAGATGACACCCTTTTTAAAGCACTGTCATCATCCTTGCCAGGTTTCCCGCCTCCGTCACGTCCACCTCCCCCACTACCTTTTCCCAACTCTGACCTCTTCTCAGCAGCGCTTAGCTTTCTAACCGCTTGAGTAGTCGACTTGCTGTCTTGTCCCATTTTAGATTGTTGACTGGCTTTGGAGGGTCTGCCCACTTTAGGTTTGATCTTCTTCGAAAACTCGCTGGTTACAGCATGCACAGCAGCGGAGTCCTCCACGATCTCTTGCCCAGGATTTGACGCCGCGCCATTCACAACACCAGGGGATTCATCCATGTTAGTCTTGTTCCGATTCTTCTTCCTCCCGTACTGATAAGTGAGCACCTGCGTGTCGTTTTCTGGAATCTCAACCTTTTCCTCTACATCTTTGTCGGAAGTCTGATTGATTCTCATCAACGCATTTCCGAAAGCGCGCCTTCTCCCTCCATTTGCCTCCGAATCGGGCTTTTCAACTTCTGCGAACGACTTCAACCCTTCCCCTACTGCACCATCGTGACTCGCTTCTTGCTCCTGTCCTCCTCCGTCCGAGTCTTTTCCCATCTGTAGACCGCTACCATTGTATTCTGGTCTTTCGCTCCAATTCTTTTCGCCATCGCCATCGTCGGCATCCTCTTCAGGATTCCCCTCATTGAAATACACGGACTCGTCTTGCTGATTCAATGTCACGACGGGCATGGAAAAAACTTCCTGCTTAACCTCCTTTTCCACCGTGCCCTCTTCTCGACCATCCAGGCCACTATCCCGAGTACTGTCGTCCTCGACCAACTCTCCATTCTCTTCTGCGGAGTCCTTGGGCGTGTCCCCTACCCGCTCATCTTGCAGAGCACATATTTCCTTCACGGCGGAAATAAACTTCTTGTCTGCAGTTTTCTTCAGTGACTTCTGAATAGAGGCTTCTCTCTGATCCGCATCAAACTCTGACAGCTCAACCGGTAGGCACCAACCACTGCCACGGAACGACCACTACTTAGTATATCTACAGCCGCAAGGAATGTAAGAATTAACATGCGATCAGGGCACGGACGAAACACTCACATTTGCTGCCCTGGCCCAAAGTAGGTCACATAATACTTTCCAGCATGTTTCCCTTGCGTCTCCAATTTTCCAATCTGTCAACGTGCAATTAAAAAACGAGGTCAAAATCACAAGCTACTGCTCCAGCAAACGAGGTAAGAAAACTACCAAACCCAAACAGGGAATCCATGTGAGAAAAGGGCTGAATGCCTCGCCCCACACAAACCTCCTGCGGGAAACATGAGACCTCTGCCTGCAGAGCAGAATCCCATCACTAGCCGAACTACGAGAAAAGACTACCCATTGGGCACAGGCACACACACACACACACAAGCCCGCGTCGCTCAGTTTTGCAGCACCGAAAATTCCAACTTCCCAGAATACGCCAATCCAGCGGCAAGCCCAATTTTCCATGAAATACATGACTCCACCCGCCAGCTACGATCCTCGAACGCGACCGTAAAGCCTAGCGCTAATGGCTAGGACGACAATGATAGTGCTCCCACCGATCGAAACAAGAAGCGAGAGTTGGAAAGAGCCGATATTTTATCGGGCTTCCTGGCCAATTTCTGGGACAGCCTTTCTTCCTCCTTTCGAAACTAGCTTCGCCGCTCGCACATCACTCAAACCTCTGCACGAGACTCTGGCAATGCTCTCACGGATTCGTGATGGCGTACCTGCGCGGGCCATGCTGGCCAACCCTTGACTTTAGCCAGCACGAGGTCTCCCTCGTTGAACTCCCGAGGCGGAACCTCCGCAGAACCCCCGGCAGCAGCTCCTCCTGCTTTGGCAGCCCTCCCGGCTCCTCCTTTCTTCTTCGCCATAACCCGGGGTCACATCTGCAAGCCTGCTCCTCTCTCCGAGGTACGCCCTCGCGACCTTCCCTCAATAGTTGCACCACAAAACCCTAACCGTGATTTCAAACCTTTGTCCCTAATCGTCACCAGGAATCAACACCGCATCGTGCTTGCTCATCCAGATGCACAGTCGATTCGCCCTCGCGGATACCGAGCCAAGCATTGCATCGGAACTCACGCCCCGCCCCTCACAATCTCTCGCCCTACACCTATCTGCGCTCCTCGGAACTGCGAGGTGGAAGAAAAAACTTTCGAATCGCCCGAACGTGCAGCCACTCCGAACCACCTCCCGCACCGAACCTCGCCCCGCCCTCCTCCTCCCAATATCCCTGCTGGAAAAACTCGAACCGCAAGGGACCACACCCCGCCATTTCCTACATACCAGCCCGGCTCCGAAACAGAACACGATAATTCCAACCTCAATCACTCACGTTCCTGCGCCTCGCTCAAATGGCCCAAATTCTCCTTGCGCGCACCCGAGACCTCCTCCTGACCCGCGAAACACCAACGTCAAGACCTTTTTTTTCCCAACACGCGGTCTTAAGCTCTTCGCGCAACAGAAGCAAACGATGACCAAATGCAACGAAATTGGGAACGCAATGAAGGCGGGAAAAATCGAGTGAGCAATGCAGCGCATGCGACAGCACAGATGAAGCGACGATCAGCGATGAGAGAGAGAGTTGCTACCGAGGAATCAATTGGAGCGTAGGCAGTGGAGGACGAAACCCTAACCACCATCAGGAAGGCAAACACCACCTCGCAACTCGTCGTCTCAAGCTCGCCTTCCCTCTCCCTCCATGGCGCCCTTCCCTCCCGCATGTCCCATGGGTCCACATCCCTTCCCCCCCTCCCCCTTGCGCTCCCTCCCATCCGCACCCATCCGCATTAATTCATCCATCCGTGTGGGCTTCATTCGGGCACTCTCGTTCGTTCGTTCGTCCGTTTGTCCGGCTATCGTCGTGGTCTTCCTCCAGTGGTAGGAAGTGGTGAGTGCAGCAGAGTTGCAGTGGGGTGTAAGGGTCTATAGGATCTGACTCTTACACTTGTTGAGTCAAAAGGTATTAGGAGCCCCGGCGATCCCTAAGCCCATGGGAAAGCCGCGGCGAGGTGGCGATGGAGTGGATGGGCGGGCCACCTCCCTCACACCGAGGGACCACACGATGCGGGGGCAGCGTGCGGTGTGAGGGGAAGTATTTTGGAGTTCCTGTGGAGTCCCGGGTGATCCAGAGGAGTCAGGAGGACTCCAACGGACCACCGGGGTTTAGCTTACTGGCGGCTTGAGTCTGGAGTTACAAAGACCGGGCTGTGGTGACAGTATCCGGGAGTAGGGTCCAGTTCACAGGGCCAATATTAACGGAGTTTCTGGTTGGTGGTGTTTCAGGGTGAAATCGAGTGACCAGCAAGAGGAGGGCAGTTACATGTGGTATCAGAGCAAATAGTTTTAGATCAGTATTGAGAAGTAGATTGGAGGGAAATTTCTGAAACTAATCTTTGAGCTGAGGCAAGAGAAGCATTAGCACAAGATGGGGAAGAAAACTACCAAAACTGCCTTTCAACTATTGGACAAGGATGAGATCCTTGAGACCAAAGTGCAAGTAGGTCAAGAAGTAGCCAAATCCAAGAGGAGGTTGGTGAAAAAGAAACCCTTGCTTGAGGAGGACCTTTCTCTTGTCCAGGTGATGGATAGTGAAGAGGAAGTTGAAGGAGAGCAAGAGAAGTTTCAAGAAAACTTGCAAGAAATTCAAGAACCTCATAGTGATGAGGAGGTGATGGATAGTGAAGAGGAAGTTGAAGGAGAGTAAGAAAAGTTTCAAGAAAACTTGCAAGAAATTCAAGAACCTCATAGTGATGAGGAAGAAACTGATAAAGAAGGAAGGAATCCTAGATCACAAAGACCTACTTCTTCCAAGACCTCCAAGGACTCAATAGAAGAATCAAGAGTAGAGAAACAAAGTGTTGTTTCCCTTGATGAAGTTGAGAAAATGGTCATGAAGTTAATGGAGGAGAGGAACAAGGAGTTTGAGAAGAAGATGGAAATGAACCAACTTCTAATAGACTCCTTGATGAGAGAAAATGTGAGAAGGAAGGCCTTACTTGAAGGTCAAAAAGGCAAGCTAAGTTCTCACAAAGCCAAGACTGATCAACCCAAAAAGTGGAAGGGCACAAAACACAAAAGAATTGTAATGAGATTTCTTAAGGAAATTGAACATTGGCATTTGGCCAATGATATTGAAAGTGATGTGGATAAAATAAGGACTTTTTTTGCATTACTAGAGGGAAGTGCTTTAGATTGGTTTCATAGAGAAATCAAAACCAATCCTAACTATGCCAAGGAAACCACTTGGGCTAGAGTCTGTAAAGGACTGATAGCTAGATTTGAGAGTAAGTAGCAAAACTTCATTGAAGGATTGCAACTTCTCAAATTAAGACAAGAAGGAGAAAAAGCCTCACTTCTGAAGTATGTTGGTGAGTTCCAAAACCAACTAGCCTACACTCATCTGGACTATGAAAAGTGTTTATTGATTTTCTTTTATAATGGATTGAATGTTGCTACAAGAAAGAAATATTGGAAAAGGGAAACCATACCTACCAATATTAATGATGCCTTTGCCTTGGCTTCTCAACTTGAATTGGAGGAATAAGGGGTGGGTCATAGTGAACAAAGCACTATGACTAAAACATAGGAAGGAAAGACTAGTTTCCAAGGGAGAACTAGGCCCTTCCATGGAAGTAAGAAACCACCTTTTTCCAAGAGGAAATTTGAATAAAGTGTTTCTCAAGTTGGAAAATTTAAGATTAAAGAAAGTCAAGGGAGTAGTATTAAGAAAGCAAAAGCAAGTTCTTCTAATGTAATTTGTTTTAAGTGTCAGCAAAAGGAACACTATGCAAATAACTGTAAGAATGAAGAAGTGCCTAGAAAGGTAAGTGAACTTCCTAATGCTTCTTTGTTAAATGAGACTCTTGAAGTAAATTGTCTTCAAGTTATGAGTCTTAGTAAAAAGGTTCTGGTTAAAGAAGGGGGTTTTCAAAGAAAACTCACTGCCATTAGTTTGCATAAAAAACTCATCTATCTTGATACTAAAGTTGGAAATTGTAAAACCTCCATGTTGATTGACACAGAGGCACCAACTCGTTTATGAATCCAACTTGTATCCAAAGACTCAATTTGATTCAGGGGAAAACCAAGAGGGTGCAAATTTCTTTTGCACAAGGCAAGGAAGTGACCAACTTAGTTGTAAAGGATATGAAGTTTAAGTGTGGAAACCATAGATTTCAAGAAAACTTCACAGTTTGTAAGCTTGAGGGAATAGATGTAGTTTTAGGAAATACTTTTTTGGAATTCTATGGAATTGAACTTCGATGGAAACCTAGAACCAGAGTAGCCATGGTTGGAGAAATTAAAAAAGTAGTAAACTTACCATTTACAAACTTCCCCATGTTATATCAATCTAGGATTTCCATAGTATCTCAAAGTGAGTTAGAAGGGGAACAGTTTCTCTTCCACTTGAAAAGTTGTGATATGGATTCCATAGATGATGTAAAAAATATTTCTTTTCTTAATAAAAATGAGTTGATGAAAACAACTTCTCATCGTGCAAACTAAATTGCTGATCTTCTAAATGAGTATGAAGATGATTTGACAAAAGAACTTCCAAAACAACTTCCACCAAGTAGAGTAGTGGATCATAAGATAGATTTGGTACCGGATTCACAACCTCCAAGTAGAGCACCTTATTGGTTAAACCAAAGAGAGTTGGATGAACTCAGAGTACAGTTTAATGAGTTGCTTGAAAAAGGGTATATAAAACCAAACAAATCCCTATTTGGAGCTCCAATTCTTTTTGTGAGCAAAAAAGATGGAAAAATGAGGATGTGCATTGATTATAGAGCCTTAAATAAGATCACCATAAAAAAAAACTACCCACTCCAAGAGTTGATGACTTATTGGATAGGTTAGGTGGTAGTAGATATTTTAGTAAGATTGATCTTAAAAGTGGGTATTACTAGATAAGGATAGCTCAAGAAGACATTGAAAAAACTGCTTGTAGAACCAAGTATGGTTCTTATGAGTTTGTAGTAATGCCTTTTGGGTTGTGTAATGTGCCTGCTACCTTCACTACTCTCATGACCTCAATCTTTCATAAGGAAAATGATGAGTTTGTAGTGGTGTACATTGATGATATTCTGGTTTTTTCTAAAAGTGAGGAAGACCATAAGCTTTACTTGAGGATCGTCTTACAAAAACTAAGAGATAATCAATTGTATACTAACTTAGAAAAAATCATGTTCTTTTTAAAAGAATTAGAATTTCTTGGACATATCATCAATGAAGATGGAATAAAACCAGATCCAAAGAAGATTGAAGCAATAAAAAATTGAGAAGTGCCAAAAACTCAAAAAGGAGTGAGATCTTTTTTAGGACTAACAAATTATTATATGAAGTTTATAAGGAACTTTTCTAAAATTTCTAGCCCGCTCACTAGCCTATTGAAAAAGAAAAACAACATCATTAAATGGAATGATGATTGTAGTGCATCTTTCAAAAAAATCAAGGATGTCTTAATATCAAGTCATGTCTTGTTCTATCCTAAATTCGATATGGAATTTGAAGTCCATATTGATGTAAGTGATTTTGCTATAGGAGGAGTCTTGATGCAAGAGAGGAGACTGGTAGCATTTGAGAGTAAGAAATTAAGTGGGAGCCAATTGAGATGGCCAACCCATGAAAAAGAATTATTTGTTGTGGTACATTGCTTGAAAGTTTGGAGACACTACTTGGGAAGTAGAAGAACCAAAGTATACACTGACAACATTTCTTTAAAGTATTTTACTTCCAAAGCTCAAGCCTCACCTAAAAAACTGAGGTGGTATGATGTAATAGTGTCAATGGATATTGAACTAATTCATAAACTGGGCAAGGACAACTTGGTGCCTGATACACTAAGTAGAAGAAAAGAGTTTGTGGAAGAGAAACTCCATGACTCTATGACACTAAAGACTATAATGTATCATGATGACTCTCTCTTGATAAGGGGCATTAAGAAAGATTATGAACAAGATAAGGATGCACTTGAGATTGAAGAAGCCTTTGTTCAAACCAAAACTACAAGAGAACAGAGGAGACGTATGGGAGTCTCTTCTATAAGAAATGGATTGATTTGGTTTAAGCAAAGCAAACTCTATGTACCAAAAGGTAAATGGAAAAAGAAATTAATGTATTAAATACATGATTCTTCATGTAATGGACATAGAAGTAGAAAGGACACTTTTAAAGAAGTGACAAGATTCTACTATTGGCCTTCTGTAAAGGAAGATATGGACCAATATGTGAAGAGTTGTTTAATTTGTCAAAGAAATAAACACTCTATTCAAGCAAAGAGTGGACTCTTGGAACCATTGCCTATTCCATCTCTACCTTATAGAGATATTTCAATGGACTTCATAACTAGCTTACCAAAGTGTGGTGAAGCTAACTCCATATTGGTAGTTGTTGATAGATTCAGCAAGACTGCTAGATTTGTATCAATAACTATGTTTCCAAAAGATTCAAAGGAGGCAATAGAAACTGCCCCAAAATTAACAACAAGTGTATTCTTTGATAATTGGATCTCTTTATATGGAGTGCCAACCTCAATTTTGAGTGATAGAGATGTGAAATTCATAACTCAGTTTTGGCAACATGTTATGAGGAAACTAGGTTCTAAAGTCATATTGACCATTGCTTTGCATCCACAAAGAGATGGCCAAACTGGGAGACTCAATGGAATTCTCTCAATGTATCTAAGGCACTGTGTGGCAAGTGATCATAAGGATTGGATCAAATGGCTGCTCATAGCTGAGTTTAGTTATAATACAACTCAAAATGTGTCCTTAGGAAATACACCATTTCAAGTAGCTCATGGCTTCAATGCTTTGCGACCTATAGATTTGGTAGAAATCAAACAGAGTGATGAAACAACTTCGGAGTTTTATTCAGTTAAAGGGACAAGGTGGGTGACAAAACGGGAAGCCATATTACAAACTGCTAAAGCTAGACTAAAATTGGCCCAAAGAAGATACAAGAAATAAGCAGATAGGCATTGAAAGAATGTGCAATTTGAAAAGGGGAACAACGTTTGGTTGAATACAAGCAACCTCACTTGTCCAGTACATCTTACTCCCAAATGGACCCAGAAATAGGCAGGTCTTTATAAAATTGAAAGAGTGCTACACAAGAATGTCTATGTATTAGACATACCTAAAAGATTGAAGTGGCATCCGGTTTTCCATGTAAGCTTTCTCAAGAAATTTGTGGAGGATGAAAAAGACTTTCACAAAGAGAAGGCAAGAATTCCACCTGAAGAAGAAATATGGGATCAAACCATAGGTCAAATAGAAGCGATACTTGAAAAGAAACAGACGGATGTTAGAGGGGTTCAATATTTGTGTACTTTCAAAGGGTATCCTCCACATGAATTCCAATGGATAAATGAGAGGAACTTACGACATGTGTAAGGGTTAGTCACAGCCTTCAATAAAGAAGTTGGTGACTATAGAAGACCCAAGACCACAAGGAAGCAAATCAAACCCCACTAAAGGATAGATAGGTTAGTTGATTAGTTTGATAATTTGGAAAAGATCAATGAAAAGGATGACCAAGAAGATGAGGACATCTTCACTCCAAAGTGGATGAGGGCCACAAGCCTATATGACTTGTAAGAAAAGAAAATCCATAAGCTATAGTGTAAAGGAGAAATATAAAAGAAAACTTGGAAAAGAAGATGATGAAAGTTTTCAAGAGACAGAAGATTTTGAAAGGATTCCAACCCGCGGGGACTTCGTAGAGGGAAACCTTAAGAAGCTTGTATGAGGCGGATACGAGACTCTGAGCAACCAGGCCTAAACGGTTGGTCTTTCTTAAATGGGTTTCACATTGAGTGATAGCAAGTCACTTCCATATGGTATGGAAGGATACTAGGATGAGACAGATCCTAGTTAAGGGGTTCCACGGCCGAGGCTAAGTCTAAGTGGGGAATAATATTTCTATCATTCACATTGGGAGATGTGAACTTTCAAAATCCACAAAATTGAGAAAGTTTAAGTAAGTTGAAGGCAAAAAGAAATTGCACAAGAAACGTGAGAAGGGAGTAGCATCCCTTCTCAACAAAGAAGTCATAAATCCTCCTTTACCCCTACCATCTTCGGAAAGACTAGAAGTGTGAATGGAGGCTAGGTAGACAAAAGAGCCTTCAAGCTACCTAGGAAAGAAAGAAGGATATAAGTACAAAACGTCCATTATAAACATTCTGTGAGAATGGAAAAATATATGTATATACGAATATACCTTATATATCAATGAGGACATTGACTCTCCAAAGTGGAGGAGGATGTAAGGGTCTAAAGGATCTGACTCTTACACTTATTGAGTCAAAAGGTATTAGGAGCCCCGGCGTTTCCTAAGCCCATGGGAAAGCCGCGGCGAGGTGGCGATGGAGTGGATGGGCGGGCCACCTCCCTCACACCGAGGGACTACACGATGCGGGGGCAGCGTGCGGTGTGAGGGGAAGTATTTTGGAGTTCCTGTGGAGTCCCGGGTGATCCAGAGGAGTCAGGAGGACTCCAACGGACCACCGGGGTTTAGCTTACTGGCGGCTTGAGTCTGGAGTTACAAAGACCAGGCTGTGGTGACAGTATCCGGGAGTAGGGTCCAGTTCATAGGGCCAGTATTAACGGAGTTTCTGGTTGGTGGTGTTTCAGGGTGAAATCGAGTGACCAGCAAGAGGAGGGCCGTTACATGGAGGTGTGTGTATGTGGAGGAGTCCCATGGTCTCAACGTATCATCAGCTCACTACACTGGGACATTTTACCACAACACTACTGTTGCTCCTCCTCTTCCTTACCATCATCATCTTGGCTAATGAAATGTGCCAGTGCTGCACATTCCAGGGAATTGACTTTCTTTCTGGTTCAATGTTGGTGCTTTCTCTCCATACTCACACACACACACACACACACACACACATACTGCAGCTTCACCATAGCACTATTTGATGTTCTTTCAATTTAGTGTGTGTATGTATCTGAATTGATACCACACCATTCTCAAAACACAACCCCACAATTTTCATAGTGCAGGGCTTGTAAGATTCATTACAACCAAGTCTCTCAACCTCCCTCATTCATGTATCTATGTTTGTTGTTTATACATGCATTGTTAAATTCTATACTATCCCTAGCCATTGCAAGTTGCACATTCCATGTGTCACAGACATGGATCATGCAATATCTCCTGTTAGTGCCTCTTTTTTTAATTCCTCAGTTAGAGTCTACGGCTGACCTGCTCACCTGGTTTTGTAACTGTGATGTTTCTCAATGCTGAAACTGACTCACTAGACTGCCTTTTCTACAACACTTTTAATTTTTGTTTTTCTTGAAATTGAAATTCTCTGGTCTGGACTATGAGTTTGGCCCTCAGCAGTATCTAAGAAGATCCTGAAATGGACATTCCATGAGAATCCCGCATGGCACATCATGCCGAATCGACAAACGACTGGATAATCTTAATATATAGTAATCGCTTCAGCAGCTAGGATTGCGTAATATTCTGAAGGAGACATCATCTTACTTCAGTCCTGCAAGGTTGATCGGTGTGGACTTCTCAATGTGTATCAATCATTAGGTTCTTCGGATTACAATTCAGATTCGTGTGATGTTTTAGTTGTTGCAAACAATAATAAGCTATACTCGTGTTTAATCATTGATTATAGATATGCAGACTTCCCAAGATCTCATGTTTTGTACATTCCATTCGTGCGTGCAACGCTCATTTGATTTACTTAAATTGGATTATTGGAGGACAAAATTGCAGTAATTTCTGTTAATCGGAAGTAATCGCAATATACAGTCTGGTTCTCATTAAATAATTTTGTTCTAAATGTGGTATACAGATGAAGTTTAGTCCAAATATGTAACCTCCTCGCATTAGGTTAGTTACAATACTTCACGGACCATAACTGTAGGGATAAAAGATGAATCTGTGCGCTTGAGTCTCTTTTCTGTGAGCTCAGAAAATAATGATGTACACATCAAGAATAGAGCCTAGACTGCGTCATAATGGGAGAAGGGTTCTACAAGACTTAGAATCCATCAGTTGTAAGTAATCGAATGAGGGCCGTCACAACAGGAGTGGATGAGATATCTACAGAGGGCTGCTGTATTTTATCTAAGAGTATTGAATCAACTTTCAACCGCAATTCACGAATAAGAACTGCAATACGGGCTGGAGCTTCAAATTGCAGCCAATCGTCAACAGTAATTGATTGCCGCTCATGCTTCACCCTTATTTCACCGCCAAATAGTAATAGAGCGTAGGCGGGTATCATTGTGCTTTCTCTCAGAAAAATTTTGGACGTCTTCACTTTCTCGGTGAACACAAGATAGGGGCTCTCGAAAATTCCCACAGGGAAGTTGACGCTGGCAGGATGTAGAAACACACGGCCATCCTCTTTGGTGAAGAAACGGAGCTCGTGAGCAGCAGCAGTTTTCACTACAGCACCCCCTTCAGTTTGCACATAAGTTTTTTCTGGGTGATGTACCCGCACAATATTTGGATAAAAGCCCGCACAGATCAAAGCCTTCACCACCCGGACACTGTTAGCGTTTGCATTAAGATGACCTGTAACATTATAGTCAGCAAAAGTTGGTAGGAATCCAAGATCTACCAATATTTTGAGGTAATCAGTTCGACTAGCTTCGATTCCAGATAATGTCTCTCTTGATAAGAAGTTAGCTTGGCAATATTCATTCTCTGAACCCCAGCCATCATTCTTTGCACTTGTCCACCCATTGTAAGCAGCCGCTATTGCCATGTGATCACTCTTGCTATTCCCTGCAAGTTTCATCCTTGCAGCTGCAGCTTCTTCGCGTCTCTCCATGGGTGACATAAACGGAGATCGACCACTCAAAGATGCAGCTATCGTGAGAATTGGATCGAGACACTTTAACATACAACCAAATATCAACATCTTGCCAACCCTTGCATCCACAGGCATACGGGCCAAGTGTTGGCCCAGAGGTGTCAGCCTCTCTGCCTTGTCAAGAGCACTCAAATCTTCTAAGCTCTTCAAGGATGTGCGAACTGCTTCAAAAGATGGAGGTGTCAACATTTGGGAAACTACTTCCATTACTTTTCCTTCCATTAAGGTCTTCACCTGCAGCAGATACGAAAACAAACACAAAGACATGATATGAAAAGAAGTGAAACCATGAAGTCGTACGTGCTTTCAACTTCGTGTGTCCAGCTACATGTAATTCGCCGAAAACAGAAAACATATGCAACAAGAGCGTCAATTACTGACATTTCTCGAGAACAAATGTTGCCAAGCAAAACATGAAAAGCATCGAAACCAAAGACTACAAAGTGGGCTATCGCAGTCTTACCCTCAAACATAAGCCTTCAAGAGAAACACGGAGCATTTCTGGAAGTTGCTGTTCCTCAAAGTTCTCAAACTGTTGTCGGCTGAACAGACGAAGGCAACATCCAGGGCGAACCCTTCCCGCACGTCCACGTCTCTGCTTTGCATTAGCTTTTGAAATCCATGTATCTTCCAAACAAGAAAGCCCTCTGTTATGATCATACCTCATTTCCTTGTGCCGCCCAGTATCAATCACATACCTGGTTGCCATCAACGACACAGTTATTTCGAGAAACTTCAGGTTTATTTTTACCAAGACCTGAGAATTACTAGAATATCACAAAATCTACGCAAAAAGTCGTGCTCAGAGGAAAGCCAATTACTTTCCTGTAAGCGATCTAGCATGCATGAGAGTGGCAAAAGACTTACACAACATCATCAATGGTAATACTGGTTTCAGCAATATTCGTGGCCAAAACAACTTTTCGAATCCCTGAAGGAGGCTTCTTGAACACACGCTTCTGCTCCTCTCCAGACAAAGAACCGTGCAAAGCCAACACCCACAGTCCACCGAGCCCCAGTGCCGAAATCTGATGAGATGACTGTAGACGTTGTTGAAGCTTACGAATTTCCAGCATGCCAGGAAGAAAAACAAGTATAGCACCCACATTCTCTTTCTGTCCACTGGTTGAGGTCAAGGATCTAGCGTGTCGACTCTCTGTCTCTTCTTCTAAAGATGTTAATCTCCCATACATTGTGGAAGGATTTGCCTCTTGTTCGAGAATAGAGCATATCAAAGTTTCGATCAGCTCGAAATTGATTATACTTTGATCTACTATCTTCAAAGATTGCTGAGTACTCTCACTATAAGATTCAATACCTATGCAATCTGATGCTTCTTTCTCGTCCAGCACATCTTCCCAGCTTTCTAGATCTCCAGCCAAAACAGCAGCCCCCCGAATCTGGGGTTTCAAAGCAGCGGTAGTAGAAACTTCTCCCTGTGCTAATTTCTTACGCAAGGCATAACGTGAATTTCGCCCAACACGGTAGCCAGTCATTTCCAGCGCATCTTCTAAGTACAGCTCTCGCACTGGGAACGTAAAGCCAGGAATATTTACGACAGGGGGTGCATAACTTCCAGATTTCTTGAAGTAGTTGGCAAATACACCAGCGTCTACTGTTGCAGACATCAGAATCATGCGAAGAGTGTTCTGTGGTCTTCGCGACACAGCCAACAAAGCAAAAAGAATGAACTCTGAAACTAATGCGGCAAATGAGCATGCAGACGACCATGATTTCATTCAATAGATAAAATAATAATTCATAACATACTTACAAGAGGGCAAATCAGTTACCACTAATCGAAGATAGCTAAATCAAGTCACTAAAACCAAGCCATCAATCGATAGTCTTGCTCATGTGGCTACCTGAAAATTAATCATCGTACCGTTAATGAGGTCTTTTTGCTTCTACAATTTCAAGGAATGAAGTAACATTAAATAACCAAGGGAGAAAAAATACACACACGCACACCTGTTCAGAAACTGCCGAAGGAAGAGCAGCAAAAGATCACTCTCCAAAGAGCGTTCATGCACCTCGTCAACTATCACATGAGTTACACCGGTCAAGTTGGGATCAGATAGCAACCGTCGCAGAAGGATTCCAGTTGTGCAAAAAAGAAGCCTGGTTCGCTTTGATCGACAAGAATCAAGTCGAACTGAGTAACCCACCTGGACACAAGAATCACCTGGCATTTCAATTTAGATTATCTTGTCCATGAACGTTCATGAATAACAGCTGATTGAGACGTACACTTCATAACACCAGTTCCAAGTCAAATCAAACTCTTTTTATAGCTGTATAGTTTCTATTGCAAAATAGTCATGTCTCAAATTAAAATGATGAAAATATTAAAACTTGCATTTAAGGGGATTGGCAACTCACTGTAACGCCAACTGCCTGGCCCCTTTCTTTCGATACTCGATCTGCCAAACCGATGGCTGAAATCCTTCTGGGTTGTGTGCATATAATATTGCATTCTCCTCCCTTGTTTTTCTCAATATAATCCTCCAACACGAATTGAGGAACCTATACAAAACATACCTTTCGTAAGAAAAATATCAATGTTCAAAAATACTGCAGTCTCAAAGAGAGGCCAAATTCAACTGTATAGAAGACTTTGCAAAACTTCACAAGCTCACAAAACCAAAGAATAATATGAAGTATAGAGCACCTGGGTACTCTTGCCGCATCCTGTTTGACCACAGACAATGGTCACGAACGAGCCATTTATTGCATCTAAAAGATCACCACGATATTTGTGCGCCGGCAACCTCGCTCTAACGCCACGGAGCTCTTGATCTTTACGTGACTTCTGCCATAACTCCCACTCTTCCTTCAATTTATCACTCTCTACTCGAACATCAGCAGCATCTACCTTGTACTCTTCGCCACCTAACTCTTGCTCCTCGTCATGGTCTCTTAAAACTTTCCTTCCTGTTCTACCCCTGGCTCGACTATTCTTTCCAGCATTCGTACATATGTCATCTGCTTGTTGGGAGCTCAACAAATCACCTTGATTATTCTGAGGCTTCCGTAGTCCAGGAGGTACATACGTTCTGGATTGATTATCTGGATTGTCCATACTTGCATTGATGGAATTACCCTTAGAATTTCCAGTTATACTTTCGTCTACCTTCAGGAAAAGTTTAGATCCAAGATCAGGCTCCGATTCAGACAACTGATCCCAATCGGGGTCACCAGTCAATATGGAGGTGTGATCTCCATGACTCAGATATTCGGGAAGTAAAGATACTGTGAGTTCAGCGGCAGTGGAAAAAAGATCATATAACATGGGTCTACTCATCTGCGAGGCAACTTTTCCCACTTTTTTCGTGAGCTCCAGCAAGAAAGCGCTTGGCAAGTCGCTACTTCGAAATGCTAAAATTGGAGTTTCGTATGGATAGCGGGATTCTGGTGGTATTCGAACCTGTAGAACCATCATAAAAAGTTAGACGGTTATAATTCCATTGCTACTGAAATATATTCACGAGAAATTCCCTCCAATCAATCCGAACAAGAATGAATGAAGCAGATGAAAACAATCCACTACTGTTGTTCTTACCTCCATGTGAAGGGTTGCATCAACAGTCTCTTCCAGAGATAAGTTGAACGTAATTACATTTTCTGACAAGGAAATATTCTCCTCCTCAAAAATGGACTGCAACACTATAAGCTCTTCTTCTCTCATCTCTGCAATAGATTCTGGAGTGCCATCGTCTCCAATTTCCCTTGAATTGTCACTCTGACTCCCTATAAGCGTCCTAAATAGACTGCCCAAGGCTATCGATTCATCACCCTTGGCAACTACTAAGGCTTCAATGCAGTCAACATCAGAGTACCCATATTCTTGTAAATGGGCTACACTTTGGCTTGACATGTTAGCAAAAGTACCCTGTGCCTTGTCCGGCACTTGTTTCCCTCTCACAAGAACTTGGACAGACATCATAGAAGATTCTGCTGCAAACTTTGGGGGCAACTCATTCTCCGGAACATGTAAAACCAGCCAGTCGAGAGCACTTGAAAGCTCGTCACGTTCAGTAAGAGCAGCATTTACATGGTGAGGCTTAAATCCATAACGTTGAAGCTGTGATCTTAGACGTTCCTTTGGAGGAACATCCACGGATCTCTGTTCCATTGCTTTTCTTTCTGATGATTTCCGCGATAGATTTTTTTCTTTGAAATGTAACTTAGGCGCAGCACCCTATACGAAAGCATATGGTGAGATTCTGAACATTGTCATAGTAAAGAAACTATTCACAAAGATGAAATATTAAGTGGAGGGAAGCTGTGAATTGAAGTTCGGCTGAAATAGTATAGCAAAATCCAACATCAAAATGTTTCAAAAAAACGTATTTCAAGGTAATTTAACGAATTCCTTGAACACTATTAGCACCTTTGTATGAGCATACTTCTGAGGATGATCAACCTTCCGACCACTGGTTTCAGGTTCTGTTATGTCCTCCCAGGTACTGGCAGCATCTTCATCGAGATCTTTAAAAACTCCACCATCCACATTTAAGTCTTGTTCAACGCTAGGGGTAGATGCGACATTATCGCTTGTACCTGAGCCTCGAATGATATCTTCAACAAGACGCCGATTACCTTCACTCATGAACACAGAGTGCAGCTCTCGTTGCACTGGAGCGGGTTTCTGCCTTGGCTGCGGTGGATGCAGTTTGAGGTATTCTTTACGCTCTTCGGCAGCCTTTTCAAGGTCAAACCAGAGCTGTCTATAATCTTCACCAAGAATACGGTCCAACCTGCGAAATAATGTTCTCAGTATTTGAATTGTTGATAGACTTGTAGACTTACCCAATCATCACTAGTGGAAATCTCAGACCAAGAGGAATAAAGACCAGAAAAAGCACAAACATAACAAACCCGATATCTCCGCACTCGAAGCGTAGACACTGGCTTTTCACATAATGAGCTACATTAAGCTACAAAATTGCTATAACGAGCTACAGTGTTGCATTAGAACATGAGAGGTAGCTCAAGATAACACAAATATCAAAACGGATCACCAAAATCTCGAATTCTAAACAACATCTACGATTGAGCTAAATTTATATCCCAAGCATCTCGTGAATATGCGCAAGAATCAAGTCTTAAATGCGTCAATCCTGGAGATCCACAAAGGGATCAAAAGTCGTGCCTGTATTGCATAAGATCCGGCACCCTCAGCACAACAAGCTATGTACGGGAAATCGAAACATCAGTAAACAGCCAATACCAAGAGAAACCAATAAACCGTATGCTCAGTGAAACATACCAACAGATTTCGAAGTTTTCGAAAAAGCTGGTGAGTGCACATTCTATATCCTCATCACAGTCATCACAGGTTTTGAGTGCACCTACATAACCTATGCATGCACATATAAGCCCTCGTGTTACATCTTCGTCTATCACCACATCACTAGCATCCCGATGTAGATTGACGCAGGAAAGGTAATGCAAATGGGAAAAGTGGAGATAATATTGACGAAAACAATAATACATATACATGCGAGTCTTCCTCATTTTCTAAGTTAATGCTGAATGAGATTATGAGAGTTCAGGTTGTCAAAATTATTCAAATGCGATCACTAAAAATATGAACAGATGATCCCGCAACTGCATAAAGTCAGGTTTACCCGTTCTACAACCCAAACCTGGGTTTATGACTTCATAACAATGATGACATGATAGTAATAACCAAGTGAAGGAAGGTTACAAAGAGAACCCATGGAAGCATCACCCAAATGAAAAAAGTAGACTCAAAGACCCTTGCTTCTCGATAAACAGAAGGCAGGCAAAATAAAAATAAAATAAAATAACTTGTGCAAAAAACACACGATACCATACAAGAACCCAAACAAAGCGAGTAAAAACCAATCAACAAATAATATAAAATGCAGAGTCATGATCAGTGGATTTACAAAATCAACAAAACAACAATTTTAGTAAAACTCAATCACTACCTTGAGTCCGCGTATTGTACTTGCGAGAATCCGTGCATTCAGAGTAGAAATCCCATCACCCTTTTTGCAATTCTATTATGAAACACAAAGCTGGAGAGGATACTTTGTCTGGAAGGGTACATACCTGCGATTTCCCATTATATGATAAAGTGCCATAACAGAGGCACGATGTTGAGCTTCCATAGATGTGCGTGTCGGTTCCCTCCTATACCACAGGATAACATCAGCTTCACTTTTTTTGTCATCAGGCAGAATAACACGACAGTGGAAACCGCCCCCTTCCACTTCTACCTGTAAAAAATAAAAATAAACCAATAGATATTTTAATGAAAAATTTATCGCATAATGAGATAGATGTGAGGTATTCATGGTATCGAGGAATTTCTCGAACATAAGAAAATCAGAACAGATTCTTAAATAAATCAACGAAGATTCATATTACTATTTAGACGCCTCACACATGCATGAGCCCTTGAGGAGTTAAACAAGCTGCGAGAATCTGTTATTTCCTAATCAATAACCAGTACACAATAAAAGAATTAGCGACACTGTACGATTTTAACGCACCAGTGTCATACAGACAAGCTATCATGGCGGTGCGGAGTGCTAATCAGCGCATCGTAAGCTATCCTATCAGCCCCTTACATGATAATTTCTAGGGATTATGAACAAAATCAGACGGGTACAGATCAGGATAACAATGTACCCGATAAGCACCACTTTAAATAAGTAGATAAACCCAATCCAGATTACAACTACTCAAATAGATGCTTCTAAGTTAACAGAATCCTAGAAATTCCAACTAAAATCATCAGATAATCACAACTCAGGTTGGAATCACTCACAGCCTTAAATTTTGGTTGAGGCTTCTTGTTTTTCTGGCACCATTCATGGAGAAGTGTCTTAGGAGACTTGATTGGGTATCCATGTTCATCGCGCTGTGGATTCTGGACAGGCTCGCTTGAGCTAGCTTGTTGCTCTACATTGTTAACATCTACAGATAACTCAGATTCCTGGTTCTCTTCATCAGCATGTTTGTTTTTCAGATGCTCTTTCAATCGCCCGTCCTGCTTAAATATTCTGTCACAAAACGGGCATGGCAATGGCTGCCACACAAAAACAAGAGTCAAGAACTGGTTAGAAAAACAATTGTCGAATAAGAAGACTTGTAGCTGATTTGCATTAATATTATCGAAGACGCATGCAGATTTCGACAATCTCTCCCTGAGACCAACACTAAAATTTACACAACATACTCTCATGCCAGAACAAACTACAATACCGCAGTCAATTACCAACTAATGAAGCGTCACAAGAATTGCATAGGAAGTAACCGACACTGAGATTCAATCCTCCGAGATATAATCATCGCACCTCTAGAAGCCAAATAATAGAGGAATCAATGAGACATCACGTCAATCGATCAGCTGCAGTGAAAATCGTTCTCTCCTCTCAAGAATGCCAGCGGCAACGTCCAGAACCCAATCAATCCACAGTTTCCAAGGCATCAAACCACAAAATCCAAATTGATGCTAAACCCTCAAGAATCGTCGTCACCTGGCCCGTGTTCTTTGCAGACGTTGGAGCCGCTTTGCCCCCGCATCCGGCGGCACCCGTCTTGTACACATGCCGCGCGGGCTTCTTCCCGGTGCCGCTCATCACTGGAGCAACTCCCACGGAACTCGCACAAGGCACCCTTCGCTTCGCTGCAACCCAAAGGTTCTCAACACTGAGCGCTCATGACATCCAGTCGCGGCACACTACTTTCTCTCCCCCGCTGCAAAACCTGCATCAGCAAACAATCCAACCGATTCAGCATGGCATCATCGTTCGGTCCCTTCGATTCCGATTCCAGTGAGTCGCAATTCGACTTCCGTTCGTCTCCAGATTGTCATCATCAACGCTTGACTTTGTTTTGTTTCGAGAGCTCGGGGCTTCCGAAACCCTAGCCCTAATTTGCAAAACCACCTTGATGTGCGCTGTGGTAAAATCCTACTGCTTGCTTCCAGGCACCAGCGTAGGGATGGACGGAATTTTTATCATCCACTTCTCCATTAATACTTTTTTAGACACATTGCACAAAAAAAATTAAAAAATGATTTTAATATTATGATTATTTTTATTTTAAGGAATTGTTAAAATGATCCAAGTATTTATTAAATTGATCCACCCATCATCACAAAATTTTCCATTGCTAGATCCAAATTGGTCAAAAACCAATAAAAAAATGGTTTGATTCTCAATCAACTATGATGGGTGGGTTGATTTAGCAAATGCATGGGTCAATTTAACAATTTTATTTATTTTTTATTTTAATTATAATATTTGGTACATCTTTATATATTTATAGGGGAATGATAAAGCGACCCATTCAATACACCCTTGGAGCACCTATCCTTATTCCCAACTTTTGCTAAAGACAAGGGGGGGATAAGACATTTGGGAACATTTGGGAACAAGGGAATGGCTGGGAAAGGGGCATGTGGGTTGATTTAGTAAAAATTTGGGTTGCTTTATCTTCTAATTTATATTCTATAGTTTCATATTATTTTAACCTCAATTTTTTTTTCCTTGCAAAACCTTTGTGAAATTAACTTCTTAAATGATAAAATATAAACAATCATGTTTTGTTATTTTATTAGTGATTGATGTCAAATAAAACAAACAAATAAATAAGAGTCTTATTTGAAATTAAAACTATATATATATATATATATATATATATAAGGATGTGTATGAAAGATGTGTAACAAGGGGGTGTCCACACAATAAAAGGAGGGTGTATACCAAGCGGATTCAAAAACATTATTGCTTACTAAAGTATACACTATGATCTTACTATTTTATAATTATATAAATTTTAAGAAATTCTCATCTAAAATTTTTCTCAAACATTTAATTTTTTATTGTATCCAACACATTTGTTTGTTTATCTACATAGTATATATAGAGAGAGAGAGAGTATTTTTAGGAATCATATTGAGTAATTTTTCTTTGAAATCATAAAACAATGCAAATTAAATTTAAATATAAAGATAAAAAAAAATATGTATAATTTTATTAGTAATAGTAAAACTATTGTGCTTTACAATATGATCTTTAATTTTACATTATTCAAGTAATAGATTCAAATGTCAAATACTCTAAAAAAATTAAATTACTTAAAATATTTTTTTCACAATGATGTATTTATGTCTATATGAAAAAAAATCTGTATTTAACTTTTATAATACTAGTTATTGCAAAATTAATTGATGGTAAGTAAACATGAAAATAAAAATATATAATCTATAAATTTTGTTAAATTAATATAAAAATGAGATTCACACAAAATTAACTTTAATTAATAGATATTTATATATTTATATTTTTTAGAATCGGCTTATGAATTTTGATCACTAATTAAAATATCCTTTAACTCATAGAATAACTCAATAAATTCTATTAAAATTTTAAAGAGTTGTGTTCGATTAAATTATATCTTATGCTCCACTATTTTAAAGCTATTTTAAAGCTCCACTATTTTCAATAATAATAATTGAATATTTAATTATTAATAGTTATAAATTTAAAATAATATTTAAAGGAGAATTATATATATATATATATATATATATAGAAAATAAACAAAAATCACAAGATTCATGTTGTTGTATTTTGTAAATATATTCTCATGTCTTTTTTTATGTCTCTCTCTCTCTCTCTCTCTCTCTCTCTATATATATATATATATATATATATATGTAAAAATATATGCACTTTTATTTTTACTTTATTTCTATAAAAATATTTTAATAGCCATTTTTGATAATATTGATATATTATGTTTGTTTGAATAGTAATCACATTGTTTTTATGTGATTGATTGATGTTTAAAGTATTGTAATGGACATTTCACTTACACACTAAGAAAAAAATAAAAGAATACTATTTTTCTTATGTGTGTGTGTATGTATATATATATATATATATATATATATACAACATCAGTAGAACCCCTTGATGTATGCCAAGAGTAATGTGTTGATGTTAGGGGGATCCAAATTGCTTACAAAGAAAGAAGATGTTAATTCCTATGTAGGTTTATTTTTAAAAACAGAATTACAACAACAAACTAAAATACAAGAATGCCATGTGTCTCTTACAAAGTGGACAACACACAATATAATTAGAGGAGTGTTAAATCCATCCACCTAAATCTTAAATCAACCCACCACACAACTTTGAAATAACATATTGTTCATCAACCCCCACTTCACCCCACCATAGTTGTCTTTGCTTCTTTCTACCTTCATCTATTGTGTTAATTTACTCCAAGTCAGTTGGTCATTTTCCACAAGCTTGTTGCATTACAACTCAACTTAATTCTAGGCTCTCTCAACTTCTTTTGTCTTTAGCTATTTGATTTCATTAATTTAAATAAAGTACTTATGTAGCATGGCAATGAATTAGCCACCTTCTCCTATTTATTAACAAAATATTCCAATAAAATATAATTGCTATTCCTAGGTGGGATGATTTAAGATTTTGGTGGGCAAACTTAAATTTCTTCTTTAATTAAAGCCTATGGAATGTGGCATCTAATATTAATCTTGGATTTTAAGCATCTATATAATTTTTTTTCCAATAATTAAATCACTTAATAAAGACAAGATTGACTAACAATTTAAATAAAATTATAGATGGATGGATGCATGTGAAGATGTAATGCCCTTTTAATAAAAGTATATATATATATATATATATATATACATACATCACTTGAAATTATTTTTATAATTATTTTTTAAAATAGTTTTTAATTATAGATTATTATTATTAACTTATTATTTATGTCATACTAAAATAAACAATAGACTAAGAAACTAACTTTATTATTAGATTTTTGAATATTTTTTTACTCGTTGAATAAATAGTGTTCAAAAAAAAAATCTTATATATATATATATATATATATGTATATATGTGTGTGTGTATATATTATTTAAATGCATCTTTATATATGTGTATATATATAGATGCATTTTTTGCAAGAATATTATAGACTTGATGCTTGCATCACAATTTGTTTTATTTTATTTTTTGTGTGTAATTATTAGTAAATTTAATGAATATATTTAATTTTTATTTTGAAATAAATAAATTATATTTATATGAAAATATTTATTATATTTGATATTTGATATATTTATTTTTAATGATAATATAACTAATTTTATTAAAAATAAGTAAGCATATAAGAAAATCAACTTTTGATATTTAATTTAATTTCAAAATAAGTTTATCTTATGTCCAAACCAAAATAACAAATTAGTGTACATTGTTTGAATGACTTAGATATTGTAAGAACAATAGTTTGCTCTTTAAAAGCCCAACATCTAATAACATGACATTTTATAGGAGAAAATTTGAAAAACATATTAAATGATGTTTTATTAAAATTTAAAAAGAGTGATTTTAATAAAATAAATTGTGTAGAAATATTTCATTGTGTAGAAATATGTGGAAAAAGTTAAAAGTAAGTTTGGTTTGATTTAGAGGTTTTGCTCATCCATTTATGGAATTACCAAAAAAGTTATGAACACATTGCATTTTTCTACATTTCACGTTCATTACTAACTATTATAAAAAATATTCCTAAAACAATCTTAGCAATATGGATAATGCAAAATGGAACTGGCATTTCATTAATTAGGAATACAAAGAACTATTATAAGTGAATCTTACAGTTACTACAGTGTGAGGATTAAATTCAAAAGGATAAACAATTTTGGTTAACTTTGCTCCTCTTGGACAACAGTACGTTAAAAGACCCCATTTTGATCAATCATTCATAACTCTGAGTTAGTTTCTTTTTTCATATAAATCTAATTTTTTTTTACCATGAAACATGAGGCATGATTTTTCATTGAAGCATTAAATTAAAAAGTTTTTCATACTGACGCATTGCAAAGCACATCTGCCTCATCTTATTTTGATGTAACCATAAGAAAGGAAGAGAAAAAAACGAAGAAGCTTTGAGCTCATTAGTCATTAAGCCAAACACAAGCAAAGCGAAGCCGATACGTCAAACCGATATGAGGCAGAGTCTTCAACTTAACGTTGCGTGTAGAATGAAATGATTTACATGAGATAGCTCCGAGTCAACTTGATCATTACTTACCAGGCATTGGCTCTTTCACTGCGACGGAGCTGAGCATTTTGCAGCAATGGCCCTGAAAGTCATGAGCTCCAGCTGCAGTTCCATATACCCATCTCTTCATGTCTGTCTGATTGTTGCATTTCATAATGTATTGCAACGTTCTGTAGCAGCTTAGAAGGGACTAAAGCCTGTACCTCTAACATGAGTAGAGAAGAACAATGAGAAAATGGACTAGACACATGTTTTCTCTTCCAACCTGATTTGGGGGTGAATTTGAAGCTACCAGGTAATAGATCACATTCCTATGCATTATGAAGAGTGCGCTAGAAATAACCAACAATATGCTGCAATCCTATCCCCCAGATGTTTGGTTATATTGATGGCCTGATGATATAGAATACACAAACTTTTTATATTTAATCTAATTTTTTCTGTTATCGTTGCTTCTGTTTCTCACTTTGTACTGCATTGGCCTGTTGAGACCTGCATTTAGCACACAAAAATGGACCTTCCCAAGTCTTTCCGGCGACTTGCGAAAAGAACGAACCAGCGTGCACAGAAATTCCTGCATCCGCATATAGGTTGCAACGACAAGTTGCACAGAGGAGTAGACTGTTTCCAGCATGCACTGAGATCTCTGGTCCCAACCTGCCCCAATTAAAACCACTTTAGAAATGCATTCCTCGAGAGGGAAAAGGCAAGCGTTGTTAGTTCCTTTTAAAAAATATATTAATCACAACCAATGAAAGTTGGACTCATTATCTTATTTATGGGTGCTGATGGGCCTAACTTGTACACTCACCTTTCAGCCAATGCTGCTGAATTTTCCTCAAATAGTTCCTCCATGATGGATAGATCACTGGCGATAAGTCCTTCCTTCACCGATGTGCAACGCAACAGTTTCAGGAAGCTCAACGGCTTCTTGAGTGCTGGTGCAAAGGGTTGAGAACCAGGTGGAGCAATGTCCACCACTAAACATGTCGTATCATCTCTTAATCCACGACTCCTTATAGCTTCCTGGAATTTAATAAACTCGCAGACTAAGCACACGAAAACAAGAAATATTTTCACTTAAGGACTTCGTGCCACTTTAAAGACCAATGGCAACAAAAAATTCAAGTGCTCGTCTGTATAATTAAACTAAATAAGAAAACATTTCGGCACTCTTGAACTTCGTGGCAGTGAGGATTTCCTAAACGAACTCCCTGCTAAGGCCTAAGATTACACTGAACTAGGGCCACTGTTGACAATTTACATTACAAATGCATGCTCATTCATCCAATTCATTCATCCACTTGAGATTATTCATGCTCTCCGAAATGAGGGAGATATCTGAACATACCGACGGCAGTACTCTCTAGAGATGAACTTAGTGATGGGTTAAAAATATCATCAACCTTTAATACGTATCTGGCAGCAGTTTCTGGATTTTGTACACCCCGACAGCATCTTGCCGCTCTTCGAGTGCTGACGGCATCCCAAACTCCATCCGAAGCAATAATGAGCCTGCCTCCGGCAGGTGAGAGCTGAAGCAAAAGAGAAAGCGCCACCACTGTGAGCCAATCCAAATAATTTTCCGTGGCACCAGTCTCATCAATAATGTCTATTCTGTTTCTTGTAAAACCTACAAAAAGAAATATAAGTCCAAGTCTCTGAGGGCTTTCCTCATCCTTGCCGAAACCCGCCAAGCATTCACATTCTTGTCAAGAATTTATCGTAGCATGTCAGCCGCTTGAAGACGTAAAAGGAACAAGTAGCCGGAAATAGGTACATTCATGTTTCTTCCTTACCTTGATTTGCTTCACGTGAGGCACAGCTACAATGTAATCGCCTACATCCATATCTCCAATCGACCGAGAGAGACATATACCGCCCGGCCAGGCTCTAAGTGGGCCAATCTCAATTCCTCCTGCAACCTTTAACCTGGACACCTCTCCTCCGGACGCTTTGATGCGCTCTTGCCTGCCAAGACGCCACGTTCAAAGAGCTAAGAAACGCAAAGTGGTTGTGGTGGAAACTTGCACAACATGAAAGGTTGAGATCTTCAAAAGCATCGAGTGAACCGTGGCTAGAGCTAACATTGTAGAGATTAATAAATGAAGTGAAGAAGACTTACTCTTCTTCGTTACCGTCAAGCCTGTGATCAATCGTTAATGGCGTCGCTATTCCTTGTGCATCTAATATACAGCGAGAATCCCCAACACATGCTGCAGTAACGGTCCATCCATCCACAATTACCAACGTCGCAGTTGTACCTGATGTTTGCCCTGAAACCACCGGAAGAAACCCCAAAATATTCTTTACTTATTTCCAAAGCGTCGATCCAGGGCTAACGTTAAAAACTGCGTAAGACTCATGTTGTCAAGAGACCTAGCTAGCGTTCAGATGTACTAGACCTAATTTCCGCCACTCCTTGTCTGTCTTCACAAATCCAGCGACCATAGCCTGCGGTAGTAACGTTAACCACTCCTCTCTCGTGAGATTCGGTGGCATGCAACTCATGATATCCTTCAAAAGATTTTCCTTTGTATACTGGGCTGCTGCTGCTCCATTATGACCATCAAAGATCTGCCAGCAGATAGGTCAGCATTTCTTTCAGCGAAACACGAGTTGGATGACTTGCAAATCTACAGTGCTTGTTGAAACTTGCATGCATTTTCAAACTAATCCCAATTTCTCCTACAATCAATATGGTGTTATGCAAGGTCAAGGATTGAGCAAAATTGGTAATAAAGAAATATGATTTGGATGGAAATCAAAGGCGTACCGCAAAAGCTGCATATGTACTCGAAGGGTTTCCAGGGACTCTCTCACAGTCTGTTTTTGCAAGAACAAAGTCTTCTTCTTTCTTGTATAACATATCGTGACCATGGGACAACAGTGGGGACTCCTCTTCTGCGTCGAGCTGAAGCTGCTCAGTGCTTAGTAAAGCAGTCAGAGGAATCATATGCTGCGCAAGCTTATCGTTATCAATGCCAACTCTGGTCGGTGGAGATGCTAACCCGTTTTGAGGGATAGCCATGGTAGGATGGACACTAACGGACATGGTTTGCTGAGAGTTGCTCCACTGTTAGAATGCCAGCCGTGGGGGATGGTTTCAAGTTGATGATGATCCTTCTCCAGATGCGACGACAATCCCTGGAGTTCATGAATTTATGAGCGGCGAACAAGGTGCTTGGAAGAGGAAAACCGGTTGAAATTTTCAAAAACCCTGATGCATTGTGAATCTGAAAGTCACTGCCAGTAAGGAAGGCGGTGACACAATGTATGCACCTTCCAAGACGCGAAACACGTACTCTATTTTTCTATAAGCAATTCCTCGCGTGCACCTCTACAAATACGAGAGTTGTGGTAAAACTCGGGGCATTTACGAATCTAGACTCCAAGTAGTACATTACTTCGATTAAAACGACACCACGACAATCAGTTTGCGATTAAGTGCTTCGAGGCAGACCGAGAGAAAGATAGCATGGAGACACTCTTGGACAGTGAATTGCATCGTTCTGTCCTCAAAGACTCATGAAATCACGGAATAATTGTGACGGCCTAATTCGCAGCCTCTCAAATTACTCTTTTATTTTTAATGTACTCGTACTGATATCTTACTATCCAAAAGGGGAAGAGGCTTGGGCAACAATGACGAATCAAAAGCCTAATTCGATCACGCAGAAAACAAAGTTCTATCAGAGGAACAGAAGGTGGTAAGTTCTGCACTACGTTCATGTTATGTCGCCCGGTCCGTTTTCTCCATACAATTTGTTTGAACTCCCCTCGAGGCTCACACGTACACTTCTACACTTACCTACGACCAATTGCTCTGCTAAGACTCAAAGCCATGAGCTGCAAGAGAATTCAAGACCCCGCCGCTTCATACCAGCCACGTAATCACGAAACCCCGAACGGTGTCCTAGAGCCACTACAGCTGCTGCGCCAAGTAACGCGTTCCAGATTCAACTCCAAATCCGTTACAAGACAATCAAAGAGCAGGAGAGCGCAAACACCTGGAGAAGCACCGATCAAGGCACCGAAATTCGGTTGCACTGAGGATGTAACTGCGCAATGCGGCGAAGTCCTCCTTGTCGGCGACCATAATCCCCTCGCCACCTGCATCGAACACACAAACCAACACACCTCTCTATCTCCAGAGGACAACAATCCGCTTGACTATCCAAAAGGATACGAGCTTTCCCACCCGCGTCGGGACCAGTCACACAGAATCCAAGCACTCCGGCACTCAACTTGGATTAAAAACTACGCGGGAGCCGCTTCTACGGTCCCTTTTCTGAACCACAGCCTCCAGTGATTCTCTGGGTCCGAGTTCCTAACCCGCAGTACATGCAACTAGCAAGCAGAGAGAATCAATCAATCAATCTGCTATATCAAACCCCGAGCGGAATCGGTGTTGTTCCCCTAAAACCATTCCCCTCATCCACGTCGACGGATGCTGACGGGGCAAGCAGTTAAAAAAGCAGCTACAAGGCGGGAAGGCAGGGCGGAGTGAGGGTGAGGGTGACCTCTCGGTGGGGGCGGGGGAGAGGAGTGACGGCGACTGTCTGCCACATAAATCAAATTTCTTGCTGCCTGCCCCTCCGTGAGAGGCAGCTCTCTCGAAGATTCCACAAGGGTTTGCTATTTCTAGAAATTCGGTACGGCGCTTAGTCCACGTTCCTCCATATGCGTTTCGACACGTGTCACCGAGATCCATATCTGTTCTGTTCGGTTTCATCCCCCCCTCCCCCTTACGCCTTTTACTTTAAAGTGGTTTGAGTGGGTCGAACCTTTGGTCTTGTCAAGGGAATTGTATAAAATACTCGCGTGTATGTACGGTTTCACTTGGGTCGTTACATACTTGTGTAAATGGTGGCATAAATGTTATTGAGATATGTGAAAGTCAATTGCAAGTAATAAGAAAAACATGAAAATGGAAAAGTAATGAATGGGAATGGGTGGATTAGAATAAAATATAAATAAAGTAACATGAATTTTTTTCTGAATGAATCAACAAGGTATGAACTTATTTACTCATTTTGCACCAATTAAAATATATAATTGATTGTGGTGAAAGAATATTTTACTCAAACAATTGAGTGTGATTTCTAGTTATCACAATGTATACAAAAAATTATGCCCCTTTGAATTCACAATATCAAAGTAGTCTCCTTCCTCAATCAGCACTGTATATACAAACACATATACATTAGTTTTTGTTTTTAAAGATCATAACACTAAGGTTATATTAGAAATGTTGTAAGTAAACATGTAGAAAGAGCCAAAATGAAGTCATGTTTAGTTTCATCAGTCTTTGATTATTCTTAATCTTAAATTCAAATCTTGATCACTGTCTAAAATAGAACTACTGATTTGAAAGTTAATATGTTGAGTTTTTTTTTTTTTTTTTTTTTTTTGCACATGTTAAAAGTGGTGCACAACTTCCAAGTACAAGCTTCTCTAGGGGCTAAAATTGAAAACCAAGCTATTGGAAATAAAATAAAGTTGGTAACAAAAATAAAAGATATATCTCCACTAACCACAATATATTTATGAGAATCATGTCAAGTGGATAATAAAAATATATTTGATCATAAAGTTAAAATTAAATACACTCCTAATTTATTTTTTCTTAAATATTATTGATTTCTTTGGACTAAAACATTGCATACATATCAACAATTCCACAACAACATGTCTCACAGATAACTAAAATGATTTATTTTCAGAATATATTTTCCAACTAAGGTAAACAATTCTTCAATGCATTAAGAACTAGTCAAACATTTCATCAAACCAAAGACCTAGTCAAAAAATGCTCACACATATAATAGATACACACATCGTACACAATTACTAAAACTTTTAAATTCTTTCAAGTTTTGTTTTAGAATTATACGTTCCGAGACCAACATGAAATCCCAAGTCAAACAAATCAACTCATACCATGTCTTCGGCAAAATTTTGCACTCAACAACATGAAAAAGTCATCTTGGCTGCAAGTATTGGCATCAAAGCCTTGATGTGCTGTATTAAGGATGTGTTTATTTTTTTGATGTCCTGCTGATTTGGTACCTCTGCAGATATGTGTCTAAACATGCTTCAGAATACCTCTAATTTATTTTCATCCTGACCCGATTAGAGCTGACTCTGACTAATCCCATTATAAAAAGCTAAGTGGAAGCAGCAATATATTCTATGGAACCCTTAATTCACGTAGGATTCTCATAAATATCTGAGCTTTGAGCATCAGTTAGATGCTTGATACCTTGACGCATGCCGACTTTCAGGAGCTTGCGTCACAGTGTAGGCTACCGATCCAACAGTGCGACAGTGCATCTGAACGCTGGATGTTAAACGTCATGGAGGTGTTTCAGAGGCTCATCTTACATGCTTTGCTTGGACACCACAGAGCTGTTCGTGTTTTTTTTTCATATAGTTGTCTCGCAAGTCATTCAAGCAGGTGGGTTATGCGCACAACAGCTACTTTATCACTGGAATGCTTGTAGTAAATCTATGCATCATTGGAACGTGGAGTTTTGGTTGTCAACAGAACTGGTGTTGCAGAAAGAGAGAGAATCAAGCCGAATATGCTTCTGTGATAACGATGGAGTTGACGACCGAGATTCTGGATGAACTTTCTGTTCACGGTTGAGCCTGCGCGGTGAATGTGCATCCATGTGTTGTCAGGACGGGGTTTGATCGAGGACATCGGCGAGAAAGTCCTCCCGAGCACCTGCGACCATCTCTCCTCAACACTTGTGACGAAGTTGATCGCGACATCGTTTTTCTTCTAGTGATAAACACAAACCCATAATGTCTACCAAAATATCGTGCAGATCCCAGAAAAGCGGTTTTTGATTTTCTCATACTTTAAAAAATCCAGTGAGGTACATTTATTATTTATTTTTCCATCCAGAAGCTTCTTCCACGTGCAAAAAATCCTCTCCATCACTGAACCGTGTTGCTGTTTTCCATCATACCTGTGCGAAAGTTTTTGCATAAAAGAAAAAAAACTTTCACAGAAGAAAACCACGACAACAAACTATTACATGAACAAAAAGAAATGGATTCCGTTCAAGAGAGCCAGGCCAGCACCACCACAGAATCAGAGCCAATACGAAAACAGGTTTTTATAGTCTCTTGTTTAAGTTACTAGATAGTCAAGGTTGCATGAGATGGAGGGCGTCTGAGTTTGGTTGCTGTTTATGGTGTGTTTGTGTTGGTCCTGATGAATTCAAGTGGCGGCTGGTGTTCAAGTTGCGGGTTATGTAGAAGACTCCCCCGCTTATAGCAGATTAATCATCTCTATGCTTGTCCCCCTGACTACAGTCGAGTCGGATGCTTTGGCATACATTTGTTGCATAAGTTATGTTCAAGAAGTCCCCCCACCCCCCCCCCCCCCCCCCCCCCCAGTTTGCATATCCAGTAAAAGTATATGGGTGATACCTTGCTGCAATATTTGTTTGACCAGTGAGCATGCATGATCACCACATTGTATTAAATCTAGATTGGAATTTGTACAGCCATCAACTTCTATGTTTTTGTGTGGTTTCACATTCTACTGGATCTAGATTGGAATGTGTTCAACCATAGACCTCCATGTTTTTGTGTGGTTCTACAGGAGTGGCTTCTTTGAGATTTTGAATACATTTTTTGAACATTGGTGTCTTTGGTCTTGGTTTGATACTAAAAATGATGGTTATATTTTGGATATGTTAGTTTAAAAATCAAAAGAGTAAGTAGATGGTATCATTGAGTTTCAACTTCATGGTTGTAGTTTTGTATAGTGTGGTTTTTGAAGGTTTAACAAAGAGTTTTGAGAAAAAGTTTTGGAAGTGAAACAATTGTATACACATTTTGCAAATTGTAGTTTGTTTGCTTAAATAGTAAAAGAGTTTATAGAAACTGTTGTTGTAGGGATGTGTTATAATGTTAATTTGTATAACTAAGCTAATATCAATTTGCAAGATTGTATTAGTTCATATTACATGGAAATAATTGAAGTTGAAGATGCTTAATGTCAAAAGGTTAAAAAATTAGCACATGCAAATCTACAAACTAAGTTATGTGAATATTAATCAATTATTGTAGTCATTGCTTAGCTTTGGAATATGCATAATTTATAAAATAATCTTAACTAAAAATAGTCAAGTATAATTGTGATTAGATATAAAAATTTGTAGGCAGTGAAAGTTGACTTGATACAACATAGATTTTTTTAAAATTTTACATATATGGTTTTTTTAATGCTAAAATAATAGTGTGTATTTTTTAGTTTTTTTTATAAAACTTGATTAAAAAGATAAAATAATATTGAATTGGTATATTACTTGACATATTTGTCAATTAAACTTTTGACTCTAATTAGAATATGTATTAATATAAGATATACTAGTCTGGATTTTTTTTGTTTAATACATTTAGATGTATTTACTATAATATTAAAGGATTATATTAGAAGAAATACAAGTAATCTATTATGGCCAATTTTTTAATAGGTTGTTGGTAAGGAGTTGTATCAATATCAAAAAAGAAACTTGATAATAGCCAACAATTTTTTTTCTCATTAAAAAATATTTATTAAAAAAATAGAAGTTTTATTAAAAAGAAAAGATATATTAAATAGAAATTAATGTATAAGTTTTTACAAGAATCTTGTTTATATATTTCATAAATTCAAGGTCTTTGGTGACAATATTGAAAAGTATGGATTTCTATTTAATAAATTTTATATTATTGTATTTTTTATTTATTAATAGAAAATTATATAGAAGAAAATTGATATCAAGTAGCTATTTTTCAAATAAAAAATAAAAAATATTTAAAAAATTAATTTTGTAATTTTTTTGATGCAGTAAGTGATATATTTACAAAGTATGATTTAAAGAAATTTAAAGGCATCATTCCATCTATATTTGATTTTACTTATTTTAATAAAATTAAAGTAGATGATGATGATCTTTGTGAGAGGTTGAAAGTTATAAGTAATGATAATGTATTAGCAAAATATCTATTTCAAAATTAGAAAGACTTGTGCCACATTCAAGATAGAATATTTTATAACTTGGAACTTTCAAATGATATCAAAAACTTATAAATTGATGGCTCTATCAGCAAAGGTTCTTTTAAAATTGTTTACAAATCCAAGTAGTTTGGTATGTCAAGTGCAACAAAGAAAATAATTAATACTTTTTAAAAAATTATTATCATAGACGTATGCATCTTACTTGGCTTAAGACATTTTGTAATGGAATATAGATAAGATATTTATATTGTTGATGCATAGAGATAGATAGTTGGAGCCATGTTTGAGAAGTTTATAGAAGTTTATAGAATTGGAGCTTGGTTAGTAGAGTATGTAGGATCTACTATAGAATATTTTAAAAAAAGCTTAGGTCAATTATCTAGATAAGATCCACCATTAAGAATATTTTAGTAAG